TATTTTCTTGAGCTGCGTCAATTTTCCTTCAGGATTCTCTTACTTAGTCACAGAGAACAGTTCTCGTGAACGGTCGAAGGACATATTGGAGTACCTAAGCAAGTTGATTCCTGGTGGACCAACAATAAGTTTGGGATTCCAATGTGAATAAGTTCGAAAATTTCGGAGTAACTTCCAGTGTGAAATTTGATAACGATTGCTAATTGTTGAGCAGATTAACAAAACTGTGTAAATAGTTTAGTGACCAGTAAGTGAACGATACAAACCATCCACCGACTGACTATAAAGAACCATCAACTCTCTTAGCCTGTATGAAGAAATAGCTGTCTCATGTACCACCACCCGCTTTTGTCTTCGTGTGCTCTATTCCGACTGAAATAACTAGGACTGGAAGCTGAAGCAATGTTGATGAGTCCACGACCCAACTATCTAGAATTGCGGTCAGTACATATCATGATTTCTGAGTATGAGGTGTCTATTTCGACCTAGATTTAATTCAACTTCGTGTAACAATTAAAATGCTCTTTATAACCCAATATAGATGCTAGATGGTCCGGTTTACCAAGTGGAAACTCCTGTGTGAAAGAACGCGTAAACACACCAGCTGTGCGGTCGGTTATTGACTGCTTCCTAATGCACTCTAATTCCTGGGACACTTGGTTAAAACAAAGCGTTAAATCACGTGAGCTGGCTAATCGGTCGCTTCCTGACCGGAGGAGGAAGTTGGCCTGATTGCAATCAGATGAGCTGGGCAATGTAGTTAAAAAGGACTTTTCTCTCGTGGGTAGAGCATTAAAGTGCACTTGATGATAAAATTGACGAGAGGGATACAGCGTGGTGTAAAGTGGGGGATAGCCTTGCACCTTGTCGAGAAATCATAATGTTATTAAACAAAACTTTATTAAGGGCCTTAGTGTGTTTCGTGAATGATAAAAAATTGCAATCACAGGAACGCCGTTTGTCAGAATGAAAGTTGCATGCCAAGATGGAAAATATACCTACTAGATGTGAGCTTAATGACGATGGCTTCAATTAAGTCTCAAGAAGAAACTTCGATGAATGAATAATTTTCTTTCCAAATTAACCTTACACCATTCAAGCCAAAGGTCCATCGTGTGATATATAACATCGGTCATATGTTTCAAACCTATGTACCACTATAATTTCGCGAGCTTAAAATTATAATCCCAAGTTGGGAGCAGCGTATGCAGTAGGAACTGGAAACTCGGACATGTCACTGCTAAGAGCCACTGCTCTTGTGTGCTGCTCAGTTGAAAGGCAGTCAACATGGTATGCAACAAGATAACCTTGATGTGAGGAACTATGCAAAATAGGACAGAATAAAAAGCTCTGAGTTTCACGGAAATTTTCTAGCGTATTATGGTGATTAAAAACGTAGTAAAATTAAAACCTTTCATGGGTATAAATAGTTCTAGTTTTATCGTACGTCAATCGTTGACGATGACGGTCTTGCTAGATGCCAGGCTACAGCGATCATTTATGGAAAAAAACAGTGCTTAGGGCATCTAATCGCTGACAGATGTCGCCTAATTTGTCGTGAAATTGCAATAAATTGTTTAATCGCTGGTTGAAAGAGGAAACTGGACACTTCAAGGAACAATTTCTGTGTTGTCAACTAAGCGCCACATCGAGTTCAAAACAGCTTTCCGCTTTTAAAATGCACAGAAAGACAAATATGCACCGATTTAAGGGACCTAGATGACATGGAAGATCCGTATTTCCTGAATCTCATAATTCTATAGTACTCATAGTTCAGACTTGGTGCTAACTGGTTTCTGCTTGTTTGGAGTCCTACGAGAATTCCACAGAGAATAACGTTCCGACAATGATGCAAACAGATGTAGGTCATCATAAATCGATTCGGAAGTGTTGGCAAATTTTCCGTAGCGAAGCGTTCTAATCATCATAGAAACAATTAGGTAGGTGTTCAATCAGAAACAAGAAACACAATGAAAACAATACGAGCGATATTACCGAAAACTTTAACTATTTAGTACGAGAGTAATGAGTAGGAGGCACTTAATTTTAATGTTTTCGTCCCAGTGGTTCACAAGCTACATAGCACAGCCTAGCCCGGAAGAGCAACAGACGCGTCTCCCCCTACTGGGGCTCGTCAGTGGTGCGCATTCCCTCGGTCTCTTATTGGGGATCGAACCCATGACCGTTAGAAGAAGATACTAACTAGCCATCATCTAAAGCTACTGAGCTATGGAGAAGAGCGCCAGAGCTACATAATTTGTAAGCTAACTGGGATATACCGTGACCTATCTTCCACTGCCATGCTGGTTACTACCTTAGCAGATGACAGCGCCTGGCCTCCGTAGGTCATGACTTCCTCTCAGTAGGCGCTACGGCCATAGCATTTGAAACTAGAAGAGACTACATTTTATATTACTGAGGAGTTCTCGAGTGGGCAACACCCAATTTTTATCTACTTTGAATACGGTCCCAGTGATCGCAGTGACTAAAGTTCATTTCAATGTGAATCCCAGTCACTTACATTGAGATTGCGCGTCGCAATCCAATCACACAACGTGTAGTCCAAACTTGACCATCTAATTAGTCATTACCGTTATGTCAAGCGTTGCCCACCGTGACCCGGTAGCCAAAGGGGTAGAGGTTTCGGCTACTATTCCAATGGTCGCGCAATCGGGGCCTGCTGTCTCCACCTGATGAGATGAAATTACATCGAAACGCGTCGTGGTTGTGCAGTGTTTTCGGGTGGGCAACACCCAATTTCCATCTACTTTGAATACGGTCCCAATGATCGCAGTGACTAAGGTTCATTTCAATGTGAATCACAGTCCATTACATTGAGATTGGGCGTCGCAATCCAATCACACAACGTGTAGTCCAAACTTGACCTTCCAATTACTAGTTATTATCTGCCTCTAGCAGTCATGGGTTTGACCCCCACTAGGGGACCGAGAAAATGTGCACCAATGACGAGCGCAATATGGCGAAACGTGTCTGGTGTTTTTCCGAGCTAGGCTGTGCTATGTAGCTTGTGAGCTCCTGGAATGAAAACACTTAGTAAAAATTGTCTCTCCGATGTGACTCGCCAATTAATAAATTCACTGCCCACAAACACACACTGGCAATATTTTTTGGATACGTACACTAAAATGACACTTCCCAGTTTTTACCTTAAGTCACCACCCTATTTGTTACACTTTTACACATCCTTGAACCCAGTATTCCGCCAAATCATTAAAGATTCTGTTCCTGATCAGTGCATCCGCCATTAGCGTAACTTCTGTATATTATGCGAACAGTGCATTAAGTGCAAAGCAACATGCCTGTTGTGAAACAGTCGCTTCCAAAAACTTGAGCATGTCTGATTTGGTGTACCTTTAAGCATCCGAAAATAAAGTATTTAATTATTTATTTATACTTTACTTGAATATCTTCCGTGGCTACAGGGAGATAGCTTTCTGTGCATACATCGTAAGAGGCTCTGGCATGTGGAATTCTTGCTAGGTAACTGTATCACACTAAATCATCTCCCTTATCGAATCATAGTATTTCGATTCAGAGCTTAGTATACCTCTCATCTGCAATCACGCAGAAGACAACTTAGCCACGGCACATTGGGAGCCTGGTACAAACTGGGTCAAACGGGAAAGGTCAACCTATAAGTGCATTGTTCGTTGGTACATGTGATTTTTCTCATGAAAATGCTCTGCTTAGTTTGTGTGATATAAAGGTGAAAAAGAACTTGTACCTCGAAGCACTTTTCTCTATGATACCAGTATTTTGTGCGGTAGATTTTATATATAAAGTACCTAGTATAATCTCTCGGCTGAAAACACTCAACGACTTCAAGAATTCTTCCGGCTTACTATGGCTGTTTCCCGATGTTCAGCAAAATCGCCTGTATTCCAGGTGTATTCTCAAGCGGCCAATTGAACCGATCAGTCGCAGCGAAGTACGAAGTTCATAAGGTAATACCGTGTAGTAAAGAGTCGATACGTTCACAAGTGCCCGCTGGGGTACTCTTGTCAACCAAGCTTCGTACAAAATCGCTCATATAGTTTTCGGACAGGATAATCCCGGATGTTTAAGGCGGATATAAAAAGCAGCAAGAAAGAGTCTAATAGCCAGACCTCTTGTCGACGGCACATAGGATAATCGACCGTTCCAACGTTCAGTAAACACCCAATGCCTACGTGAAATCGCACGTAGCATGCACTGTGCGGGCCTAACAGCCCTGACCGAAACAAATTGATGGTGCGTTTAAGATATCACTATATCGGGCAGCTAGGAGTGTTAAGGCTTGTTCCATCTCCGACACCGACTGGTAACTTGGTCTTCAGTACGGCACAGCATGATATGGTAGCCAGGGTTTCAAGAGAAGAAATCATGCTTTTCGCCACCTCTTACGACTTTAGTGCAGCACTAGTCGGAGAAATCGCCAGTTGAAACTGACTAAGCTACATACTTGACTAGAATTTTACGGCGTGTATCAACCGTGAATTACTTTTCAAGTCTTTTTTACATATGCACCCGTATTGGGCGTTCAAAATGCCACCTGACGATGCAGTAACCAGGGTACATTAACTGATACAGCTGTTATTTACCCGATGATGAATAACGGCATCTAAGAATGTGCAGTTCTACACCCATCTAATGAAATGTGCGTTAACGCATTCAAATTCCCTTCAACGGCTTTACTTTATTGATTGGTCTATTTTAAAGTTGGCTATATATATATATATATATATATATATATATATATATACGTATATTCTCACCAACTTCCTCATACTCGACTTGCCAATCACAATTTAATTATTCGTGACGAACCATCGGTTGTTTCCAAGATAAAGATTTATTCGCTGCGGGATAGTGGACTCTATCGGAGCTCAAAAATTAGGCATAAGCAAAAATTTTAGAATCGGGCAAGCTACTCTGTCACACTCTTTATTTTCCGAAACGATCAGCACCACTAACACACGTGTACGACAAAAGCGACTTACCAGAGCGGCAGCAGGAACAACACCCGCCCATTCATTTAAAGTCCCATCAGGAAGTGATACATGTTAACACACGAAATGAGTTGGTGAATAAATACGATTCCAGCTTTTCCCACAAGATGGAACACACGCAAATCTCTGTTCAAAACATATGGTCCGAAAGATTTTTCACCGGCTGCAGAGGCAACCAGAACTAAAAGTTCATTTTCGACTTTCAAACAGCTACCTACCGGTTGTAAGCCGAAGCATACACACATTCCATTGGTGGCAAATTGATCCAATCAAAGTTATTTCTGAAGGTCACCGAGGTTTTATTCCCATGCATTGCAGTTACACTTGGAAGAGTGTAGTAATTTTTAAATTCGCTTTGATTCTTATTAATCGGAGTAAATTTATTCAGGCAATGTATTGTAGTGCATGTCTGAAAGGTTTTGCACTTTCGTAATCACTTGTACACACGCATGAAGCAAAACCGCCCAGGAACCGAGTGCACTGATTTCATGATTGTAAAGATTTCTTTGGCACATAGTTTGTCAGGGATAATCACTAGGAAGAATTAAAGGATTGAAAGCAATCTTTTGATCTCAAGTTACACTCGTGCACCTTCCTTCAAGTGGGCAGGTCGCATTGGCAACCCCCTACCTCAGTAGCCAGGCGAGGGCTATATGGTCACTTACTATATTAGTAACCATTCACAGTAAAGCGCAGAAACGCATGCTACCCACGAGAAGCAAATTTGCTTGTCTACTCGTCTGTTTAACACTTGACATTGTCTTGTTTCCCTGTGAGTGTAGCGAATCCGCAGCACAAATATTCGAATAGACGATTATTGAGTAGTAGATGCATTTATAAGGTTTTAGTGGAGGTTCGTCACAGCTAGACTCAGGCAGACAGCCACCACACAGGAAAGCGCTAGACGGCAGTTTCGTCCTATTGGGTCAGCTACCATCAAACATGGCTCAGTGGCGTAAGTCTCTGGTTCGTAAGCGTAAGTCGTGGTTTCGAATCCGGCAGGATTCGGCAGGTGGGCGCTGCTGATGAGTCCGTAGGATGAAATGGCTGTCTAGCGCTTTCCTGGAGGTGTGGTAGCTGTCTGCCTGAGTCTAGTTGCGACGAATCTCCACGAAACTTAATAAAGTCCCTACTAATCACTACTTATCAGTAACCGCCCTAGCAGCTTACATGCCACATCGCTTGTTGGCGGCTTGGAAAGGAAGTCGTTACTCTGGAGGCCAGCCTTGTCCCCTACAAGTTCATAAAATGCATGTCAGTGGAGGATGAGTCGCGCTATATCGCAGTTAGATATCAGTCATGGCAGTCCGCTGCCGTCGCCCATGGCTCAGTGACATAAGTCGCTGGCTCGTTAGAATAAGGTCGTGGGTTCAAATCCGGCAGGATTCGGCAGATGCACGCTACTGATGAGTCCCAGTAAGACGAAACGGCTGTAGAGCGCTTTCCTGAATATGTGGTGGCTGTCTGTCTGAGTCTAGCTGCGACGAATCTCCATTGGTGTAGACGGCTTGAATTTACTTTCATGGTGGAGTCGAATGTGGACTTAAAAGGCACTTTCTTTGAAAATAACGCATGATATGGTGCAATCTTTCACTGCGGGTCAGTCGGTACCACATGGACAGGAAATATTATCCGAAATATAACTAGTATTCTGGACGGGGGAATTACCTAATTGCACCACGACATACACAATGAGTCAAGGCTAGGCTATATCTCCAAACTTCCCAAAATTTGTATGCCAAGCAATCATGAATAATCCTCTCTTGCATCCTCCCAGTACACCTGAGATCACTGGTTTGTTGGAAGACCAAGTGTCAAACCTGAAATATGTGGACGACATAGCTGTCTTTGAGTCGGACTCGTTAATTCTACAAATGATACTGAATAGGCTAACGCGAAGCGCCACAAATCATGACATATGCTACACATTTTCGAATGCAAAATACAGCCGTAGCCTCATCTCGGTTGGACACTAGATTCAACCGCTATAATAAATGTACGCTATCGGGCGCTTCCCCAGGTTGCGGATCGGGGAATGCGTTCCTTTTGGAGGTAACTGCGAATAAGTTCCTTTTGCCTTGCAGGCGAGATAAATAAGCAGTCGCGGACAATCAGCGGCAGCGTCTCAGAGCGTGGGAGTTCTGGGCTGGTCACTTGGCTCTACATCAAATACCACAAGAGCTCGTACGGCGCTGTGTCAAAAAGCCAATGTGACCGGCTATAGGGTCACTGACCACTCATTTCTGTAACCAGAAGTGAGTACCTAACGGAGGGCGGATGAGCAACCTTGTTGGCCACCGGCTTCTCTGTGGACTGCTACAGAACATAAGACGAATGAGCTACCCGGATGTCAGTGGTCTCCTTTAATCTTCACGCTGCCTTGCGGGTCACGTCTTTATGACCAAAGGCTCGGGGTGGAGTCCCTTAAGTCAACCCTCTTCCTCGGCCTGGGCAACCGGAAATTCCTCTGCCCTGCACAACACACTGACCTTGTAAATCTTCTAAACCTTACCACTGTCTTCCTGTTTTCTCCTTTGCTGTCGTTGTTGCTGTTGTTAACTATGTGTTATGGCACTTTCAATCGCATATTGGTCAGGTGTTAACTAATAATAGTAATAATAATACTATGTTTATTTATCGGTGTATCTGTGTCATCTCTCTAGGTCGCCTCAACGGTGAGAAAACTGCGAACTGTGTCAAAGCTTAGCACTTATAAAGACACTGAAATATATACGCAACGATAGGCATAGACTTGTTAAACGGGCCAATGTCCTGCTCACTTTCACCCGAAGACATTAAGGATCATTCATTACTGATCACGGATACACGACAGGCATTCCGCCCTATTGGTGGGAATACCGATCTAGTGGTTGAAACTTTGTCGGCCAGACCATTCAGGGTTTTAATGGCGGGTGTGTAGAACATGAGTCGCTACTACTGGTCCAGTCATACGCTTCGAAGACCAGCAAACCGGGCACTTCTTTGAGAGGGATACCCTAAGGCGATCAGCCAATGTCACAGAAAAGTGACATACAGACACTTATTGAGAGGTTAAATCGGTTTGAGATTTTTGCACTCCATGCTTGCATTAGATGATCAAAAAGCATAATTATGTAGAGTAACTGACGATACCCCAAATTTTGATATTGCTGCCCTTTCTCTTACCTGTTTTCTTAGATGTACCATAGAAATTGTAGTAAGCGTAGTTTGGTTTAGAATGAAATAATATATTGTACATGTGGTATAGAGTGCTTAGTATAGAGATTTAAAAATATCTACATTTTCAAAAGGCCAAATGTTTCATTTAGCTAAAGCCGTTTCGATTTGGAGTCAACCTTGTTTATCATAACACTAATGTCAAAACAGTAACAAGACTTCTGAATGATCGAACAAAATGCAAAAGCATCAATTGGACACTACCTTGGACAAAACTTAATGTGCAACTATGAGAATCAAGAAACAAATTAACTTCACCATTAATGCCACCAAACAAGTAGTCGGTCACGTCCCGGTGAGTTGTATCATGGAGGATTAACGTCAGATTTTATTGCTCGATTCATTGGAACACCCCTGTAAAATAAGCTAACAAATTCCACAGAAGATAAGCTATCGTTCTTCTCAGATAAGAACACCACTGTTCCAGACTGATAACTAAACAATAAAAATGGCAAGTGATCAAGGAATGACTCTTCCAAGGCTTCAGCAACTTTGAGCAACTGTACAACTGTCATGCTTTTTCGCGGTACTGGCAACGAAGGTCACGTGACACATGTACATTTTTTGGAAGACCGTAAATGTCCTATTAATGCCTTCATTAACGTTCTGAAAACAGTTACTGAGCGCCGAGTTGATTGTGTAACAAATGGAGAATTTGCGTTTTTCAGTACTGGCCCGAACTATCACACAGGTTGTAAATAGCACAGGAAGGGATGACTGGAAATTTATGCGGCTATGTAAATCCTGATATTTGGCCCCCAGTCCTTCCCAGTTCACGGCACACTTAGTTACTAAGCGAGCATGTTGCTTAGAACGTTACCATGGCATTTGTAACATTTTGCCACCTAATATGGCCAGAGCCAGGTCTGCTATAGATCGCGATTGCCGAACTGAAGCAGGTAGACGGGTTAGAATTCGACTCGAAGTAGTTCATCTGGTCGGAGGTAGTTTTATTGAAAAAACCCACAGGAAGGCAAGCTTATCTTTATACTATGCTTTATTGTTAAACTTGACGTGTGTCATTGCCTATTACGTTTACCCAGGATTTCTAATATCCAAAAAACAGCCTATGCACTCAACGGTCTTTGCAATTCCTCCAGCACTGATAGTATTCCTTACAGTGTCCATGTCCAGCATTAGCTAGGAAAATACGTATGGGAAAACTGAATAATTCCGGTGCGGCAGTCGCGGAGGTACGAATTCATCTTGCTGGCTTTATAAGTTGTTGAATGGTGCCAATTTAGGGTGCATGATTTTCTATCATATCAGGGGAACGCAGGGGTTCTAAAGACGTTTAATTGCGGTAATTGACGCCTACCTGCAACATCAGGCTTCATCACTTACAACGTCTTTAGTTGTCTATTGCCCAGTATCAACACGACTGTCCTTTAGAGCGCTGCTTGGTATGCTGTTCCTCTGTGGTTTATTTGCATCTGTTTTTCACTCAATGTGCATCTTCTGTTGGGTCGCTTGAGTGGCCCGTTCCAGTCCGATTTGCCCGTTCTTGACGTACTACCTGCTCCAGGCACACCACACTCCTCCCCACCACCTCCTCGTGGGAGCTAGTGCTGAACCATACGGGATGAGGACAGAGTTTTCAAACTCCAGAGCGCTCACATTTCGCAACAATCACATGCAGACCACACAATTAGGTTACCATCTCAGAACGTAGTAGATGAATGTTTGGCGGAGCACAACAAAGATCGAATTCCCCCAAGGAGACCTGAAGATTAGGTTTGTCATATACATTTTTTGTCATATCCTTGTGCTCAATGAACAACCACACTTTGATCATCGAAGAGCATCATTTTTTGCACTGATCATTTCTAAAACCGACCATCAGGACTGGGACTATCAGCTGCTGATGTGATACGTTAAGCCCCTGATCTTATCATGTCTTCATCGATATAGGTCGG